TTTATTCTGTGTTATCAAGCAATAAAATAGTTGATTCAGATGAGTGGTTTGGGTTTTTATCTCATTCTAAAATGAAAAATACTGCCTTTAGCAAAGCTGAGCTGTTTCTTTTATAAGAAGAGGGTTGTGTTTTGTTTAAAATACCAATTTATATGGTTTGTTGAAGAAGATTTTACTAACTTTATTTCATAAACATGCCTTAAATGACAGTTCCACTTAACATTCTATAAAGAAATGTATTTAAAAAAAACAAACAAAATCTAGGATGGGAGAAAGCTGGATTTTGTTTTTAAAAATAGACTGCCTGGAGAGAGGAGTTACGGTGTTGAGATTATCCCACCAAGAATGGCAAACCTGGTTTCACACTGTGCTGGGGGCCTTTGATGAGATCTTATAAATAAATGTGGAATGAAAGGAGTTCTTACTGAGCTTATTTGTTCCTTCTTTATTAAAAAATATTTTCTGGTGTTGAAACTTAATTCTAATATTAGGTCTGTCTTGCTGTTACCCACAATTAAAACTATCTTGTAATTAGGATCATTTAAAAATAACTTCTATGACCCTGACCTTTTCTCTCTGTGATAGGAGTCAGTAACTGCTGATTACTTTATGGTTGTGTTTGGGGTGTGTGATTTGGTGGTTCTGGGGGCAATATTAATGTGGGTGGAAATTACTTAGAGTGATTCATCTGTTCTAGGTAAATTGTATTAGATGTTTGGTTTTGCATTAGGAAAGTCTGTGTTAGAAGAACCTACAAGTTGATCAGTCATTTGTTTACTGACAGAATTGCTAGAAAGAGATGTGCTTTGGGCTTTTTGTTTTTAAAGTAATAGTTAATCTTCAAGGTAAAGAGTAGGTCATTTATTTTCTAGGCAATTCTGTATACACAGGAGAACAAACATGAAATAATTTTTAAATAATGTCACTGTAGTGATTTGAGAGGTGTGTTCTGAGGAGTCAGTGCTCAAAACAGTTTTAAAATCACATACAAGTGATCTCCAAGTGCATAGTGAAAGTGTCAAGTAGCCTTAAACTTTATATTATGGCATGGTCATGAGCACTTAAGATGAAAAGTTTAATATACAAAATCAAATATTAACTTTAAGATGTAATTGAAGATTCAAAACTTTTTTTATTACTCATTTAGATTAGCCTACCACAAACTACTGTTTAATTTACAGCATTATTGATTGCTTTACAGATGATTTTATGTATCTTATTTCTTTAGTAACCATTAGTTTTGTGGTAAAAGCTTCCTGCATATTTTACTACCTTTCTGGTTACACAAACAATGATTCATAAATAAATGTTTAACTCCGATAGAGGTAACACAGTATTTGCACATAGATTATAATGTGTTTTTTGAAAAAAATAATACATAGGGTTTTTTGGTATCAATTTGAAATTGAATACTTCAAGACTTGTAGTTACTACTTCAAAATTTCAACAGATAGGCAGCATTATTTGCATTTTCTACTCAATAGGAGAGCATGATTCTGGAATTAAAGTTCCTGTAAACCTAATTCCTCTGTCTGTGCCTTCTCAAAGCTCATACTGGAGAAGAATGAGGTGAAAAACAAACCCAAACCAACTCTCTACCATGGTATTTGCTCAAGGGAATTTGGACCTCAAATGATTCTTTGAAGTGTTTTGAATCCTTTTCTTTGAAATTCCCTGCACAATGGTGCCAGCATCTTAAGAAAACTCTTTAGCTGTTGTTGTTTTGGAGCTGCCATTAATGAAAGGGTTGACAAATGGGCACCCTATCAAACCCAGTATTGACAGGTCAACAGCAGGTGTTCAGACAATCTATGAGAAAAGCTGCTGGAGTATCACTGTATGCTTGCTTACCATTCCTTCTTTCCATGATTTCATAATCTGGGAACTCCTGAGTTAGAAACTGTATCTTTGAATATGGAGTTTCATGGATTTTCTTTCCTTAGCTTACTCAGCTGCATAAACTTTGAGCCTAATTATATATTTTGTGAAGAAATAACCTTTTTTTTTTTCATTTTAAGCTGCCCTTTTATGCTTTTTCCGAATGTCTCCTGCTAAAGAACAGATGTTGTTCCATATTTACATTTCCTGTGCTGCTCCTGATCTTGAGCAATTCTGTCCTCTCCTGCTTCATTCTTCTTTTTCTTGCCTCTATTTGAGTGTTCCTCCATGCAGAAGCTGTGCTGTATCTGTCCCACATTGCCATTTTCTGTATTTCAGCCTGCTGTACTGCAAGTTGAAAACAAACCAGAAGTGCACACAGAGTTGACTTCATGTAGAATGTGTGATGGAATTACTTTGTAATTAATTTTTCCCTTTTGTTCTGCATATCTTTCCTAATAGTCTGTATCATTCCATTTTATTTTCTTGTCAGCTTAGTGCCAAGAAGCTGTCAATCTAGTTGGCATTTCTGCTGTAACCTAAAGTCCGTATCTTGGAGTGCTGGTTAGTGAGCTCTGGGTCTGTTGTATCTAAATTTAAGATCCTTTACCTGACTTTCAGAGAGGAGTCCAAATCTCTGCCTTGTTCAGAAGGAAGTAAGGAGGCTTGCTGTGAGAGCAGGATTCAGTGGCAGGAGGCAGGAGGCATTGCTACTTTACAGTAAAAAAGGACTGGCTAGTTAAGAACATCTGGTCTTTGCATATTTCTTCTTACCCATCTTTCTTATTTCTTAAGTTTTAAGGAAAAGTGGTATTTGGAAATAGAATAATTGCTTAAGAACAGACCAAATACAGTTATGGACTAAAAGAAGAACAGCATTAAACTTGGGATTTCTTTATTTGTCATGTTTTCTCTCAGTAAGTGTTCCCTCGTTTACTTTTTTCCTTTCTAATTAGCTGTGTATTCTTCAAACAAAACTTTAGCAACTGCACTTTATTCAAGCATTTCACAGTTATCTGGAGCATGCAGTGAGATTCAGAGTATTGTGGCACAGAAATCATTAAACTTGATCTAAATTGCACCATAATGAATTTACTTTGAAAATACACTTTGGACTTGGCTAGTGCTTTCTGGCTTGGTGCTGTATAGGTTTTGCACTTTCACACAAGAAAGAGCTGTAAGATTTGTGCTTGCTGTTAGGACACTGTCTATACCGTTTCTTGCTCTCTTTCATCAGTAGAGTATGTTTTGTCCTGCCTGATTGCTTCTACTTAAGGCTCTCCTGAAAGCTCTGGAAAAGTGGCCCTTAAGTTTTAGCAGAAAACCCTGCAAGGGCTTGCCTGTAGCTTGGGTGATTCTCTGCTCTAGTGGTCAGCTGGTAACGCCTTTTCTTGTAAAGCATATCTCCTTGAACTTGGATCATATTTTAGGAAATAATGAGGGATGCCACTCAAATATAATACTATATTTTTTGTCCTGTCTAATTAATTTCTTATATATGCTTACTGAGTAGCAAGCAGAATACATTTCTTGCATAGCTTCCCTATTTTGCTAAAACTAAGTCATGGTTACTCCTTTCCATCTCAATTGCCATCTCATACAAGGGAGTATAAACACCTAACTTTAAACATGACTCATTTTGATGATAGTACAAGTGTCCTAGATGGTTTTTTCTCGGAGAGAAAATTGCTGCAACATCCCTAAAGCAAACTTAAATAGGGAGGAGTAACATGGATAGTTTAAATCCTCTACTTGTGCAACTGTCTATGCTTGTTCATCATACACAGTCTTACTGTAAGTGGAGGACAAGGGAGGTGAGGGATTGTTACTGCTTTGCACACGAGGGTGGAAAAAAAAAGAGTTGCCACTGGAAAAAAAAATCTGTTATTACTGCTAATTAAAACAAAGCATATAAAATAAATTGCCATAAGTGAGTTAGAAGTAGAAATCTCTTACTGATATTAGGACGGGTCATACAATAAGCTTCTTTCAGGCTTTAGCAAATATTAATAGTTAGCTTATGCTTGATACACTTTTAAAATACTTCTTTGTAATATGAAGATACTACAAAAACTGGGTCTGGAACCATGTTGTGCAAAGTGTGTTGCCTGTCCAAAGGTTAAAATAAAGATCTGCACTTGAAAACTTGGTTTTAGCTGTATCAGCTTATTGGGTGCAAAACCAGTATCATTTGTATTCTACACATTTATATAAATTGGAGATGTGTGCACCCATTTCTGAGTAAGAAACACAAAAGGAATTTGTGAGGATCATACTAGCGAGTGCTTCTTAGGACAGAAATGTCCTTTTGGTAAGGCATTCCAAGGGTTTGTGTACTGCAGAAACCACAATATGAATTGTGGCTAGCCATGACTAGTATTTATCTTGCTTTTGTTTAGCAGTTCATTATGTAAAGCAAGCTAGGAGAAGTGGATACTTGGCAGGAAAAGTGGGGAAATAATAATGTTTAATTACTTTGAAGTACCAGAATTTAACCTGTAAGACTACTTTTTAGCAAGGTGGAGAGGATGAAAATAAATCTGTCCCTGGAGATCAGCAGAGATATTTATCTGTGATATTTCTAACCATGGTTGGTTTGATTCTTCAGTACTGTCCCCTGGAACCTAACTCATTGAGATTGGCTAGATTAGGTTGACATCAGTGAAGGCTTGGATTCCTTTTCCAGTGTATCCAAAGGAATCAGTAGTCTGGGTTAAACTCCATTTCAGCATCTTTGTATGTAATGTCATCCACAGTGTTTGCCATGAACGTGGAAGCTACTAGGAAGCCTTTAAGTCTTCAGTGTTTGTCATGTTAATGCTCATGCACAAAAACCTGAAAGTAAAAGTTCCCAGACTTTAGTTTCACAGAAAAAAAAATGAACAAAATCAGCATACTGAGAATATTCCTAGTTTCTCAGGTACCCAGTAGCCATTTCCTTCTCCAAAACCTGGAATTTTCTTTAACTAGTGGAAGGGGACCTTGTTTTTGTTACATGCAGGTAAAGTAATCTCTTGGTGCATTATGTAACTACTTTAAATTGGAAGATGGGGATTTTTTGTCATGGAGATAATGAGACACTTTGTATCTAATGTGCAGTGTTTTCTGTTTTGTTTAGTGGGAGACTTCGATAAGATCTGGCGTGAGCACTGTGAGGATGAGGAAACTCTGTGTGAATATGCTGTGGCAATGAAAAACCTTGCAGATAATCACTGGGCAAAAACTTGTGAAGGGGAAGGCCGAATTGAATGGTGTTGCAGGTAAATCTTACTGTATTGAAAAGATGCATTTGCACACTTCTGCTTGCAAATACAAGGCTTAAGGGCTTTTTCTTTCTTTTTTTTGCCAATTTTCAAGTTTTGTTCTATAACATTTTAATGATTTATTGCTTCTTAAAACAAATACCTTCTTACTGTTCCAACTTACTAAGGAAATACAACTTTAAAAGTGTTTTGTTTTAAGGTGACTTTTCAAAAAAGTATCTTCGACAAACAAGGTTTGCTTTTTTTCCTCAAATACAGAAGCTGTTTGCAAGTAAAGCTATTAAGTATTTTGCTATACATTTTAACATAAACTAAGCAAATGCAGTGAGCACAGCTCAAGCTTAATTTTCAGCGTGCTGGTTTGAGTTGTGTGTGCAACAGTGTTTTCTGTGTAATCTGATCTCCTTCCTGTGCAATTTGAAATCTTAATCTTGACTTTAACCTCTATGGAACTTGCTTTAAATTAATTTAAGATTTTACAATTCCTGTACATCATAAACATGACTTTTATTGGGTTGTCTTAACAGTAAAGTCATTAAATGACTTCAACTAAACTTATTTCAATCCTTGAGGAAAACAAATTTCTACAAGAGAAATGTTGGTTACTCAGGATTCCTGCATAGAGTGGCATCTGTACAGCAGAATAATGCAAAAATTTGTTGAAGTCTAACTGGGAAGAGAAATTATCAATGATCCTGCCTTTGGGAATGACTTTAGACAGGCAAAAAGTAACAATTGTGTCCCAGTCAGTGGGTCCTGCCAGGTGAGTGTTGCAGTGTGATGAACTAAAGGCAGCAAAGAAAAGGAGGCATGGTATGATTCAGTTTAAAATCATTAAGTCCTTTGAGCCCATGAAACAGAGGAGGAGGAGACAACTGTGAAACAGTTGATCTAGGGTGCATCTTGGTGGCAACTTGCGCTGTTCTGTGGCTTCTGGAAATGGAGCAAGTAATATCAAGATGGTTTCCTTTTGCCCTCCAACAGACTTAAATATTTGAAAATCATTCCTCTTCATATCAATCTTTTCTCCTTTAGCTTAAAAAAAAATCCAAAAAGCTAGTTAAGTACAGACCTTTTTTCAGATGTTTCATATATCCTTAGGCCAGGTACAAGAAAGTTGCTTCAGTTGGAAAGAACTATGTCCAAAAATAGACATACATTCACCCCGGCATTGTCAGGGATAAATAGAATGAAGAAATCTTACTGAGGTTGTAGTAAACTCTTGTTTATGCTACTGACCTTGTTTGGTGGGTTTTCTGTGGTTTGGTGTTTTTTTGTATTGGTATGGCATTGATTTATGCTCACTTGTGATCCCCAACTGCCCATTCCTTTTTTACAGGCTTCCTCAGTTGCTGGTTGTTTTCTTGTATTTGTGCTATTCATTACTTCTGTGGAAATGCTAATATCTGTACTTCTCTTTACTAAATTACACTCTCTTGTATCATATTGAATTATTATACTGCAATTTCTTGTAGCATCTTCCCCCTGCTTGGCATCCTTCATGGATCAGTGAACAGGAGTACTGACTGTTCAAACATTCAGGTTATCTGTGAAAATAGTAATTGTACTGGACCCAGGGCAATACGTTGCTTTGTATTTTCTTACGACTTGCTTGTCAACTAATATGTGAAACTTTTTTCAGTAGAGCTGTGTGCACTTATTTTAAAGTAATTTCAGGTAATCAGTTTTTCCCTTAGCTTGTGACAAACTTGTGTGTTACCCTGTAGGACAGGATAATGTTTCTTGTGGACAGGGGAGGAAGAGTTGATAGCCTGTATGTTGAAATATTTTGGCTCTTTGTCTCACTTGTTTTCTGTATGTAGTTCCTACAAGATTTACAAAGTAAACACTTACCTAAAATGTCCAGTTTGGACCTTTCAGCATGAACTCCTATTGAAAAGAGAATCCACCAGGTAAGAGGCGCTAAACGCTCTGTCTCAGTCTAAAGTTTCAATTAAAGCACGTACCTTTTCAATTTGCAAGGACTTAGGAGTTTTGTATCAATATAAAAAGAGGGATCCTTTTCACTTGTGTGCCTCAGATTAAACTGAAGCCTGGATGGCTGAGTACCAGAACGTATCCGATTGACTTTGTGTTCTGCAGTTTTTTGTTGCTTCTGTAAGGGCCAAGAGGTGTGCCAGACAGATGGCAGGTCCCATTGTTGTTACTCCTCCTTGTGTCTGATTGTATAATTGCATGCAAGAGAACTTGACTTGCATGAGACTGAAAGCTTTTGCTGAATGCTTTAACAGTGTCACCAAGACAGCAGGAAGATAGCTGATGTATTAGATGAAGTTTAAATTAGGAGTGGAATGCTGGAAATACTCTGGAACCACTGGTGTATCCCAGATGAAGAAAGGACAGTCTGAGCATTTGTTTTTCTTTGAAGCAAGATCTTTTCAGAGATTTGGAAAAAAAACAGAACTCTTCTTTCCTTCATTTTCCTTGTATTCTTTTATAAAGAAGCATTGCATAAAGTAAATGAGAGAATGCAAAATAGCCATTAGAGAAGCCATGTGTGCTTCTCAGTATTAAGAATAACAATTTTCTTGAAGGATTCTCCTTTCAAAAGCCTTTCTAGCTATTTAGTTGAAGATACTGAAAAAGAACTTCTTTCGGACATTAATTTGTAAAACAAAACCTCTTATTTTATTTCTTCACTACTTCTTGATTTAAACAAGCACGTATCCAGACTGTAGAAACCATAAGAGATGGGAAGCAGTACATGATAGACTGTGCTGACAACCATTTGCTGCACTGTATAGGGACAGTTTTATTTATTGTTTTAGGGCAACACTGTACAACTGCTAGCTGGGGAGAGGGATTGAGGGGGAGAGAGGGTTTAAAACTTTGTCCCCTTCCAGATGCAGGTTAATGATCCCCTGAGCAGTGTTGTAAAAAGACTGGGAAACACTAAACTGTCTTGCTTTCTCTGTCTTTAGAAAACTGAATACAGAGTAGCAAATGGTATTTGGAAAGTAATGTAATGCTTCTCTTTATCTTTAATATCATTTGTATCACAACACAAAACTTAAGCCTTTCACCTAAATACGGTAAGATGATGTTTACCCTGAATAATTGTCCTAATTCTTAAATTTTGCTGGCATAGGTAGGCTGGTAAGCCTTTGTATGGACAATGAATGCCAGCCTGTTCTGGTCTGGTCAGAACAAAATAAGCTAAACCAGCAGGTTTGCTTCTTTTTGTCGCTTTTGCATCAGTATTAAGACTTTGTTGACTTGACTATTTTTTTAAATAACAAAAAACCACAACAAAATCTGCACTTCTGACTATCATGACAAAGCAATATCCTGACCTGCATTTTTTTTTAACAAGTCTTTTTGACTGTTTCATGAACAAACTGAAGAAATATGGTCTTGAAGTTAATGTCAGGTGAGTGCAGAACTGTGTGAAAAAACTTGGAGAGAATTGATACTAGAAGCTTATCTTAAAAATGTGATTTACTGACAACACTCTGTCAGTGTCCGTCTCTACATCCATTACTAATCCATATATTCAGAAGCAATCTGCTAGAATAAAGTCTGTTTATTAAGTTTGCAAATGAGACCAAACAGAAAAGAATTGTCTACTCAGAGCAGAATTAAAATTAACCATGTTTTTAACTATACCAAATATTGTCAACTATACAAATAAAGGCCAGGGAGTAATTGGTTGTGTCAGTCCTTTAGAAAAGCATATGGATTCTGTAGCAGGACCCAAGCTGAATATGGAACAGTCAATGGCATGCTTTTGCAATAAAGGCAAAATATACTAGAGGGTATTAATGAGATTATCCACAAGATATGTAAAGCACTTCTCTGACTTTATTTAGTATTGCTTTTAGCCAAAATAAGCTACTGCATTTAAAAAATAAGAAGCAGCTCAACTCCAAGAAAGATAAAGAAATTATCAAAAATATTGGATTTTTTTCCATAAAAGCCTGGGGGTGTTCTTCTAGAAGCTGGAGCTGTGTAATCAAAAGAAGAGAAGGCTGAAGTGATCTCTTACAAGATCTTTGAGAATAACAGGTCTCTTCCAGAACTCTAAAGCTGATCTTGTTCAAAAGAATGAAGGCATATTTGAAGTTCCTTCAACACTGTTTTGCAGATTTTTAATGAATGCAGTTATTTCAGCAATTCACTTTCAGGAGAATGGAATTAAGAGGGAGGTGGCATAAACATGAGAAGGGAAAACATTTAAAATGAAAAAAAGATTTAATGTTCACTGTTCATGTTTGTATGACAGTCTTCATTTTTACTCCTAAGTAATAACTTTGCTCTGATAAAACTATATCTGTTTGAATGTTAGAGGTAATTAGAGCAATGATCATATGGTAACTGCTGCATGGACACACCACCAGAGAAACATCTGATTACAGATCTAATTGTGTTTCTCAAAAGAAAAACCTCAAAACCCTCAAAGTGTGAGCAAGTGTAAAAATTAAAATGGAAAAATGTATACAAGTTTCTCAACTTGATATTTAACAAAATGTAATTATGATAATAAAAAAAATTTAATACTTTACATTGAGAAACCTCATGCTCTCACCTCTGCTGGATACAGGATTTCCTTAACTGTGGTGTGCATTAAGTGGATGTGCATTATAACAGCAAAATATTTTCCAGTTCAGAGGAAACTTTATTGCTCCTCTGAGTATGATTGATGTGTATAAGGGACATTGAGAATTTTCCCTTCCTTGACTTTCTTTGGAGGTTGAGGTGTGGGTGGATTAAACCTGTAGAAGAGTTTACACTTTTTTTTCAGGCCAGCAGCTCTGTCAGTTGACATTGATAAACTTACTCCTCAGTATGTGAGAGGAAAGGAGAAACGTTTTGCAGAAAGAAACCATGGTAAGAAGTCCAGACTTTCCTTCAGCTCTGAAGGGAAACGTTATTTCTCAGTACCCTTACTGAACTTCATGTTCAATATTAGGTTTAGGTTAGTAAATATGGTTAGGAACATAAGTCAAGCTCACCTTTTCCTCATTATTAAGCAGAAGGAAAGAGATGGACTGTGTCAGTATTTAGCCTGTAAACAGGTTGCTTGAAACCCTTGAGCACTGATGACAGCTGTCAGAAACTGCTTTTGCCACAATAAAAGCTGACCACACCAGCTTAAATTTAGTTGTTTGATATTACTTGATAAGAGCTACCTACTGATTCTTTTGTGGCTTATAAATTTCATATGGTGTTGCTTTGGCAATTCCCCCCTCCTTTTTAAACATTATATTGTATTGAAACCTTGGTTTTGATCACTGTTTTTGTAGAAGCAGCTTTTCTTTCATTGCTGGAGAGTATTAGAAAATGAGTATGGATTCATATTGGCTTTTACTGAAACTTCCTTTAAGTGTCCAGCCCAAATGGTGGAGCAGGAGGGTCAACAGGCTGGTTACCATTTGAGATTTGAAGTATGGAAAGCAAGTTTCATTGAGAAAATATCTAGATTTCATTTTAAAGCAAAGACGTGAAGTGAACGCTTCACCTGTCTCTTTGCCAACAAAGTTAAAGTTTAGAGCTGAAACGTTTATTTCACAGTTTGTGTAAACTGTAACAAGTGCTAACTCAGGCAGCATTTACATTGTACAATTCTTCACAAACAAGTATTTTCATTTTAGAGCTATCATGGTATCAAAGACTGAAAGCTTAAATGTTAGTTAAAATGGAGCCATGTCAGTCAGTTCTCAGAATTATAAAATAGATTTCTTAATTTTATTTCTTTGTAGATAATTGAGGGATGTTCTGTTTATTACATGACAGTTGTTAACTGTAGTGTCTTATATAGCTGTATATTCAAAACCACAGTGTGATGATCAATGATGGCTTTTAACAGCCATGAAGTTAAACGTGCCTACATCAACAAGATATCGGAGTAAACTACTGCGTGCATTACTTCTGGTTAGCTACTGTGCAGTGCCTGCTTACATGCTCACTGTTACTTCATATAGGTGTTAGGTCCACTTCCATGAGGGGAGGACATAAACAGCTCCTGTGAGGCTATGGAAGCCAAAAGGACAGCATGTAGTATTCCTGACAGAATTACTGTAACTTCAGAAAGGCGTAAAATGGAGATCACTCTCTGTGGTTATGAAGTACAGTATTTCCTGGGTTGGTTGTTTGGGGTTTTTTGTATAGGTGGATTTGGTTTGGGTTTTTTTTTTTGTTGCTTTCTTGTAATACTGCTCAGGTATACAGACTGGGATCTGAATGTGAAGAATTTTACCTAGTCTTGGGCCTTCCTGTGTCTCTGGCTAACAACAAAAACCCACAAGATTATGATGTTTCTCCTCATGATTGACTTCAAGTGTCTTATGTGCAGAGAAGGAATATCAGTTAAGAAGAACAGAGAATTGATGTGAACTCAGTTGACCTCATAGGCAGTGGTAGAAAGATGGAAAAAATACTGATTTGCACCAGTACCACGAACGAAGAAGAGATCACTTCTTGGTGACAAGAAGCTTATACTAACTTTACAAGTAGGTTATTCTCCTGTGCAACAGCTCATTAAGTGTAAAGCTGAGCCACAGACCAGCTTCTAATGAGTTAAAATATTGATAACATCAGTAATTGAGGAGAAAAGCCATGACATTCTCCCAAGGTTGTGAACTTTTTGATGTGTTCTGACTTACCTCTCAGCATTGCTATCAGTGCAACACAATTTAAACTGCTGTTGATTCTGGATGTTTAAGAGATAAAACAAGAAAAAAGACTTAGAATAAAGGGACTGCAAGTTGCTAACAAAATAGTAAGGTAGCTAATAAATGGTGAGGAAAAGATATTTTTGTATGTGAGTTTCATTTATTTGACAAAGTGACACACGGAACTAAATAGTTAGGAAAGACATAATCCATAAGTTGATCATATGCTTATAAGCAAATAATACTATATAGTGTAAAATACAGCTTTTATTAGCACACCAGCAATAACTTGAGTGTTTTTCTAGGGTTCTCTCTTGTTTACTGACATTTTTAATCTCTTTCCTGCTAAATTAAATGACCAGCTCCTTTTACTGCAGCATTGTTAATTTTAGAAATCTTATCTTTCCATAAATGGAGTCTCCAATGATGGAGACAGTTGCTCCATACTGTTAGGATGTGAATTTTAGTTCTTTATTCCATCTAGCTTCTCTTTGGTCTTAAATGGTTTTTGTTACAGAGGAATTGTAACTATAAACTTGATGACTGTAAATATAATGTTTACTGAGTTTGTCATACAGCTGTGTTTTCTGCTCCAAGGTTACTATCTTCATTTTAGAATTTTATATTCAGTGCAAGAATAACCAAGGTCTGCTTGAGCAAGTGAACTTTGCTTGTGCTTTGAGTTTGTTAGATGTAGATCAGTTTTGGTCTTGAAGTCATATAAGCACACAAATGTGTCCAGGGTAACTCACACACCCCACACCCCCTTCCCAGCTAGAATTAGTAACCTGGACATAATATTCTACTGTAATTACACATTTACTGTCTCAAGTCGTAATTTCTTACCATCCTGCAATAAAGTGACTTCTATCTGTACCTGTTTGATTGTGTATATTTACTTTTAAGAAACTCAACTCCAAGGGCTATTGTTTTTTGCCTTCACATCTTATATGGTGGAGAGGCTGGATATATTCAATGCCTGTAATATCACTAAGCCTTAGATAAGGTGTATTCTAAGTCTTTGTCTCGATTTGTAATTTGAATGCAACACTATACCAGCATGTCCTTTCCTCAATCTGTGATGTGAAATACTATGTTATCTTGATCCTGTTTTGTATAAGGTGTTATTAAATTACATTTGAATTTGTTTTCTGGAATGTTTTCTTCAAACCTCTGTTAGAGGAAAACTAAGTCAGTTTCAAGAAAGCATAATAAAATGGATTGCTATGAAAACATCATTGAAACAAGTACTATTTCTGTTAAACTTTCTGTGCAAATACTTGGCTGGCACATCTAATTAAAAATACTGCTTTGCTTTGGGTGAGTCAGGCTTTTTAATTTCACAGCAACAAATTGTTTCCAATTCTAGTTCTACTTTGTGGACAAAATTCAGTTATTCTTGAATGTAATGCTTGCTTCTCATACGCTAATGCTGACTGCTGGTTGAAGTATGCAGGTGCAATGTAACTTTGATAACATTCTTTCCTTCAAACTGGTTAACATTTCTGTTGGAGTATGACCAGATTATTTTGTTCTGGTTCCTATTAGCAAAATAATTACAGGAAAAAATTCAAAGCTGAAATCACCCATCATAATACAGCTATTGCAGAAAAAAACAACCACCCTTGGAAATCTCAATTAAAATTAAAAACTGGTGTATGTAAGTTAGTCCATAGGCCTGGATTCTGTTTCTTTTCCCCCACATTAAGTGCCTTGCCAGGCACAGATGTTTCAAAAGCCTGTGCATTTATGGGGAGCTAGTTAATAACTCTGCACCTTAGTGGAGGGCTGCGGGGCTCAGGTGGCAGCTGAAGTTTACAATGTTCTGACAAGACTTTTGCCTTGCTCTGAAAATCTATTCATTTACTCAGCCATCACAGCCTAACTTTTGAAAATAAAACACCATTTGACTTCAGGTGTCTTTGTCACAACTTTCCTAAATCTTATTTACCAAAGTTGCACTAAAAGCTGGTGACAATTAGACCTCTGTCTTGTGTCTTATCTGTAGTAATAACCAAAAATAGCATTCCATTTTTCTGGGGAATTTTTATTTTTGTCTTTTCAGTGTATGCCGAGAATATTTTCAGAATGGTGGGAAAAGAAAAGCACTTGAGAAAGATGAAAAAAGAGCACTTCTTGATTCTAAGACCACTCCAGCTTTAAGTGTTTCCCAGGCTCCCAAGATTGAAGATCCCTTATCAAAGTTTGGCTTGACAAATCATGAAGCTATAACAGAAGAGTAAGTTTCACTTTTTTCCATACTTTTTTCCCCCTTTTTCTGTGGAAAGACTTACCTGGACATTTTTTCCCCATAATAATTACAGAACAGAATACATGTTTCAGTAAATATTTATGTTGTAGTATATTTTGGTGGATGCTGTTAAAAAATTGCTTGAGAGTGACAACTTAGTCATCTTCGTATAAGTGTTAAATTAATTTCACTTTTGTACATCATTGGTTTGCAAGGCAATTTATATTAAACCTTGAGGTGAAATAAGGGAGATGTTAATTAAGTTAGAATCTAGTGGCTGTTCAGCATTGTTGAAAAGTCAATTGCTTATATAAGTACTAAGTGCCAAATGTAAATATCGGAGTACTTAAAACTTTCTCTTCATAAATAATTGCAGAGTAACTCTTGATTCCAATTATACACTTCAAAAGCAATTTTGAATTATAACCTTTAATATTAAATGTGATAGTTTTCTGAAGACTAGCTCTGCAGAAGTTCTCATATGCTTAAGGTGTTGTCCTAACAACAGTTTTAATTTTGTTTTTGACCTTCACTCAAGTAAGAATTTTAATGTAGGCACTCAGGAGTGCCTTTATTTCAGTTACAGTCCCACCCTCCTGTTTTTTTCTGAAATAACAAGGGTCATGTTTGAGGCTATTCCATGTGTGAGGGAAATAATTTGTATTTTGCAAGTATAATGGAATAATGAATGCATGAGCATATTACCATTAAGTGTTACTCTTATGATTTGCTTCATATTCTTTATAGCCCAGTTCTTAAAACTGTCTGCAATAGTGTTTTTGCTGTTCTGTGAAGAGATTTTTCTCCTTATTGTAGCATGCTAATGTTACTACCAGATGTGTCTGTCCTTATGAGCTGGTATCTATTGTGGCTTCTCATGTTTGTAAAGTAACTTGCAAAAGGCATAAAGACCCCAAATGCCTATGTAGTTGAATAGTTACTTGCAAAATGAAACCTTTTTCCTCATTGTTGTCCTATAATGACAAGACAAAACAGATGCTTTCAAAATTAACATAGTGGCTTCTCCTAAGCTGACTTCCTCCACAGACTTCTCTTTTTTAGTGCTGACTTTGCTAAGTCAGCCTCACAATGAATACCTGTTTTTAATGAGAACTGCCAGGCACTTCTGCACAAAGGGCTGATGAGATTCTAATACCTTATAACATCTCAATAATGCTGGCATTTCTTAACACAGAATTTTAGCATTACTATTAACAGCAGTTTGTTGGTACTTGTTTGTTTAAATCAATAGGTTTGATATTCATACACCACTTAAAATTGATTTGTCTTCCAGTGGGAGGCCTTGTAATGACAATAAAGCATTTGCTGTCTCTTTGCATGTGCTCTGTCTTCATACTTTGTACCTTTTATAATGGCCATTGCAGAGCTAACTTCACATGGGTTTCTTCTTGCTACCAGTAGTCTGTAACCTTATCAAAATTTTGTTGTGACAAGCGTGTATAGAAAACAGTTAATAGAGAAGTTTTATTAAATAATCTTGAAAGTGTTTGTTAATATAGTGAGTGATTAATAATTTTCCCTCTCAAAACTTCAAAAATACAGACATAAAAACACATGTGGCAAATACAAGATTCCTAATATTGACCCAAAGGAGCAACAAATGATAGGAAGGTTTTTGTAGCTGTACAGACCTTAAAGCAACAAAGCATAGCTGGTCTAAGTTACTGCCCAGAGAAATCAAAATTCAGTTTTTTGCTTTCTGCCTTATAGAAGAAATTACAGAGATTATCAGAATGAAAATGGATTCTGTATTACACAAGGCATACTTTCTTCCTGAAATGCTTTTCTACTACATCTCCACCAAGCAATTAGTGCAGTCTGAATTTTGGTGAGGTTTTAATACAAGGGAATGGGGGACCCTCCTCCCACACACACTTGTTCCAATGCTGTCACTTCATTCTAGTCACATAACACTACAAATAAAGAGCTGTGGGGTTGTCTTATAGGTATGGCTAAGCCTGTGGCTTTTTTGCTTACTCTGATAAATGTAAAGACACTAATTTTGTTCTTCCTATATAATCTTTTCTCAGGTAGAATTAAAAGCAGGTTGCGTATGTAGGAGGTCTTCCTGAGCTTACCTTTACTGGCAAGGCATTGTAGAGAGACTGTACTTTGCTTGGTAAGGAGCAAAGAAAACTCAGGAATAAAAAGTTCCACAGGTAGCAAAAAAGATCCTGGGAGATGTGAAGAAAAGTAGGAGGCACTCAGCCCTTCAAGGTGATGGTAGGAAACATCACAAGAACCAAGACTGCAAAATTTACTGCAACTCAAAGTCACTTGGCTACTTTGATAAACCCATTCCCAGTTGCTTATGTTGCTCACCTCTTTGCTAGAATAAAATTGGTGAGTCTTACAGAAATAACTAATGTGAAGAGTCCTTTTTTACTTTAATCTGTATGAAAAGTAATGTATTTTCCACAGTACTCCTTCCATCCCAGAATGAGTTCTTATGTCTATGACATTAGAACTGCACCTGTTGTGAAGCTGGACATCAAACTAAGTCTTGCAAGATAAAAGCAGCTGTTATCTGCTGTTGAACAGCTCCTCCCTTCAATAAATTAGTGCCCCTTTCTTATCTTTTTGAGTTATCTTCTTTTTCTGTCAAATTAAGTAGTCATGCTTTCTATCCCTAATGGTAAAAATCACTGTATTTGGTATGGTTTCTCTTCAGGTGTTGACTTGACTGTATCTTAAGGTTCAGCCTATCGTTCCTTTCATATATAGCTCAGCAAGTTAGACCTTCCCAGTGGGTATCTTTAGGTGTGGATGTTACAAAAGTTTTGAGGCATACCAGTATTGCCCCTCAGAAGCAGATGTATAGCTTTGTTCTGCTCTTCTGACAGCATCATAAGGCTTCTGAATTTTTTTCCTCTTCAATCCTTGATAAATAATGGAGTAATTCAAAACTGTAAATTAGGAGATCAGCACATGAAGTGATTCAACTCAGACATAAAGTGACTCCCAAGGAGATGTGCTGGTCTGAGATGTCTCATACTAACTTTACATGGAAAAAGACACCACTTTATTTCAGCCCATGTTTGTGTTTTATGGCCACTGGGATCTGATTGGTCCCTCTGCATTATGCCAACTCCTTATGTATAGACTAGATTGTGACTGGCCTCCAAGCTGGGAAAAAACTGTCTTCATTCTTAAAGTACTGGCTGATTTACATGGTAGCCTGGTAATGTGTGCAGTTTTAACTTAAAGATAATTACTGCACTATTCGCCTTGGTGAGCCTGGTATTTTGACAGAAGTGTCCCCTGGATATATTCTGTTCCATGTAGAAGTAAAATCCTTAAATTTGGCATTATTGTTCTGCTGAATGCAAGAAGAAATCTTCTCTTGTTTCTCCAGCATCCTCTCTGTGGTGGATCACTGGGAGTTTAGGAGGAGCACAGAAAGCCCAGAGCTCTTTAATATTTTTTTCTGCAGTCTTCTTTACTGCTTTGTTGATGCTATGAGCAAAACTATGGCTTTGTTGGACTCTATTGGCCCTCCAGATCTGTTTCTGAAAGTTTTTACAGTTATCTGTCTCTCTGGGGCTGAATCTTTTCCAGAAAGATGACATATAATTTTTTGAGGATGCCAAATGGAATTGGCTACAAAAACTTGGAGCAAAAAGCAACATTTACTTGCTGGGAAATCATCCTTCTCCTCCCTGTTATTTCCCTGTGAAAGTTGTGAGTTTGCCTTTTGTTTGCCTCTATTAATGGATTTTGGGTATTCTAACAAATCATGATGGAAGTTTTTAGAGGCAGCCCTGTAAACAATCCAATAGAAAGAGCTCAAACTGTTGGCTGCTACTGGTGCTGTATATTATCTTCTTTTTTGATATGTGGATGCACTCATAAAGTTATGTTTTTAAGAACAAGTGGATGTAAAGTCTGTGCTACTGGACTTGAACAGAACTGTTTAGTTCAAGCATTTACTGGTTTCTTGCCTTGCAAAGAAAGAATAAACAGCATTCAAATTCAGAATGAAAATAAACTAAAGAACAATGTCTTTGATTGTAGGTTGTATTGAAAGGCTATGTCCTTGATATTAGTAAAGTGAGTAACATTTTCATTCTTTTAAGAGGGACAGTGCACCAGGTTAGACAAACGAAGTGCCTGGAGGAGGCAAAGCCTTTAAATGGTAAGACAGCTGAATGCTAGTACTTTTGTACAGGTACATTGATCTTATGTGATGCTATATTTTCTATATTGGTAATGTCATGAAGAAAATGCCTGTGGTTGCAAACTTGAAGACCAGAAATGTTCCTCTAGGCATTGAACAAGGAGACTATCCTTGGGAAGATAAGAAAGTTTTCAGAAACAAGGCAGCACTGTCCTCAGAAGTTGCCTGGCATCTTTTTTATTTTTTAAAACTATATATTTAACTTAAAAGAGCAATGATATCTTTATCTTCCTAAGGCAGGTTGGTTTTGCAGTTGGTCACAGACAATGTCAGAGCTTCCCAAGAAAAGCCAAACTTCATCTGGCAGCCTTCTAGCATGTCTTCTGGTGTGCTATTCTGTGACTTTCCAGCAGATACTACAAGAATGTCCTCTCTTTGTTTCTTCAATCTGCTGGGGTTGTTTTTGCTATTGTTTTTTTCTGATCTTGCAGTCTTTTTTTTTTTTTTTTTTTATAATCCGTGCAGTTTTGGAACCTGGTTGAGAAGATGATGGTCCAGTTTTTCATTGTGTTTTTGGCTTGGTGATTTTTTTAATTTTATTTTCCATTTATATTTTGGAAGGGTATATGTGCATCTCTGCAGCATTCTGGAACTAAAGTATTTGAGTGTCCTTAGCAGTCAGTCTGTCAGTCCAAGCAGTGAGGCATGATTTCTCCAGTTAATCCTTTTTTAATCATTCACCTTTTGTTGTTTGGTACCATAGGCAACTATTTAGCATTACAGGCTGGGGCCTTATCTATAATTTCACCTTAAATAGTAGGGTCATTACACAGTGACAGATAGGAAGATAGATTTTTGGCTTAGTAAAATGTTCTCCAGAATTCTTATGGTCTCAATTGTCATTTTTTTAGTACTTCAGTGCTCTGAATAGGGATCTCTTTCCTAAACCAGATGGCTGTTTTTGACTATTTCTCATTAAAAAGCTTTTGCATACTCCAAAAGAAAACTAATCACATGGCATGGAATAGACTTTTTTTTTTCCAAGTAGTTTTGAGAGAATACTTAATTGATTTAGATGTTAAGAATAAGTTCCCTACAACTTGAGCAGCCAGTTTTTAAGTCTGTGTCTCTGCATGGGCTGATGTACCTCCTTCACAGCATCCATCAAAAACAGAATGGAGTGAACCTCCAACATTTTATAAAACAATAACAAATAAGATATTAACATTTTTGCAGGGAATAACTAAATGCTTTGATTTTTAGATATTTATTTTATCTTGGAATATCATTTTGTATTCTCTTGTCTTTATTAAACCAATTATGGCACTTGACTTCAGATGCCACTTAAAATGGGACTGACAATTAGGTAGGTAGTGGGGTTTTGTCAGTTTCTCTTTTGAAACTCCTGAAATTTTAACTCTGACTTTTGTGATTTCAACACTTAAAAATACCACACAAAGGTAAGTGGGAAACACAAAGCAATAGAGGAAGCCTGTGTAGTGGACATACAAGTTACCATTTTAGTTTGTTGCTACACGTACACAAGTTAATGAATGGTGTTACAGCTGCTCTGAACATAATTCATTCTTCTTGAGGACCACCTGCTTTACTGTATCCTTCAAGCTTGGTTCCTTAGGTATCTCAGCAATTCAAGTAAGGCATTTGCTCCTGTTAGTCACTACAGTGGTATTCTATAAGAAATCTTTTGAATTAATAATCTGAAGCTGTAATTCAGAATATAGCTTCAGAAATAACATTTGATAAAACTTGAATTCTTTCTACTTCTTAGAATGCTCCACTCCTTGGGGAAGATCAGATTACTTGATGTCGGTAGCTGCTTTAATCCATTTCTGAAGTTTGAAGAATTTCTGACAGTTGGCATAGATATTGTTCCAGCTGTCGAGGTATGTAATATTTGTTGAATTTAATATAAATTGGATTCTCAGCTATTTTAGAATACTTCAAAATTACTGTAAAAGATGTATGTTTAATACTTAAGAATGTATCCTAAATATCTGTTTTAAAAGAAACCGTGGCCTTCCTACTATATGCTTTCCTTTGAACAGGCTCTAAACTGTAGTTGCATTTTGTTTTAAAAATGGAATTTACTTTCTAGATTTATGCCTTCGTCATGCAGATGTGAATCTTAAAATTGGAACATTTTAGTAGCCATCTTTTAATGGCATTTCAGATGAGTCATTGCATCTCAAAAGGCATAAATAAACATGGAGTACGCTTATACTTAGGCATGAACCTCTGACAGAAGGAAATGATCACTGGCTGTTCTTGGTGAGTTTTTCTGGGGAGTTTTAATAACCAGAAGTGCACCATAAGGAGGCTTTTCAGTCTATTGCTACAAATATTGAACTTTTGCAGTCCTGAGGACAAATTTAGCAGCACTTCTGGGATAAATGGGCTCATTTTCTCTAGGTACTGAGATTCTTAAATGCATTCATTCTCCTGTAATAATTTATTTCTGTCTTTTGCTTTTCACCCAAGTTTTGTCAGTCCTAATAGCATTTATCAACCAGTCAAAATGACAAAGTGGAGTTAAATTAAAAGATACATAAAGGAATGCATTTCTGACAGAAAAACCTTAAGACCACACACATCTTGAACCCTTACAGTTTAAAATCAGTGTCTATTAAAATCAGTGCCTTAAGGTAACCCTGTCTAGAAGTGGAGAGGTGGGAAGAAGTGTTACAAGTACAACACCACAGTGGACTTCAAGGTAGTGTCCTCTTATTTGCTGCAGTGTGGTTTACATGCTAAATGCATAGTACATCGTGACCACCAGGTGTAGTCCACTAATACCTGATTTATATTTTTGCATGTATGCTTAGAGATAATATAAGAAACTACTGGAAAAAATCTGCATGTGATAGCAATTTGATGTTAGTTTCATCTGAAGAACCTTTGAATGGACTCCATCTTGCCTAATTTGAAGACTCCGTATCAGTTGCCCAAACATGATTGTCTTCCATCGCTTAAAAGGCTGTAAAACATCTGCCTGGGGCTGCTGGATGTGATGCAGGATGTAAAGGAGACATGTGCCACTAAAGTGGCAACCCGTGGCATCTAAAATATTAATACATGGAAAGTAAATTTTCATCTAAGATATATAGATCGTGGGTATCTATATATGAGGGTCTATGCTCCAATTGCAGTCAGTGGAGATCTATTAAAAATAGTGAAACCTGGAGGTCAGCTGTTTCGTGGGGTGGTGAACTGTGTTTTGACCTTGTGGACTGTATTGCCTTGCTCTTCAGTGAGCATAATAGGCACCTAGGCACATGAAGTTACATGAGCTGAATCTAACCATTAATTTTGAGGTATGCATAGTTAATATTTTGCTATCTAGTCTATTGTGCTGTTTTCATAAGGAAATTACTTTTGTTCTAATGAAAATGAATTTTAATGTATAGTGACCAAAGCCATTATTGAAAGAGCCCCAGAAAGGTTACTTCTGGGGGTGTAATGGAGGAATGTGAGTAATCCAGGCCAGACAACAGGGAAGGGAGTATTCGGTAGCTGCAATTCTTGTGTACTAACCAGTTTGTCAGGCTCTCTCCCTGTACACATGAATGATAAGATAATTGATTTCTTGTCATCTGACACAGTTAATACCATAGCTTGATGACAGGAACTCCTTGGAGTGCTACTGTACAGACCAACATAGTTACTGTGAGGCCTGTTTTGGTCTCATCAGCTTCTCTTACTTCCAGTCCCATGGATACTTCTGTGTGTTCAGGGCACACTGCAACCCAGCTAGCAAGTGTTCCTGAAGTGACATGGAGTACAGTTTGTGCACTCAACTGCATCTACTGGAATAAGTTTAGGCCCACCTCCAAACCAGAATTAATAAGACCTAATATGTTCAAGAATACTCTCCCTTGAGCTGCATCAGCACCATAATGTCACAAACTATCTTTAGGCCAGCAGTTGCCTGGGCTGATTTAAGACTTCACCATAATGTTCAGAGAGTTGTTAGGGTAGTTAGTGTCATCTTCTGCCCTGAAAAAATTGACCTCATAGAATTATAGAATGGCTTGGGTTGGAAGGGACCTTAAAAATCATCTAGTTCCAGATCTGATAACTTTGTGGTGGAAGCTGGAAACAGAAGACTTAGCAAAATCTTCTGACTTCACAGGTCTTTTGAGTAAGATGCCAAAAATACTTATTGAGACGCATTGAAACACAGAGGCTTCTTGGGAAGTCAGTTTCTTGAGTAATGTTGAATAGAGTGTTAAATAATTCCTTCCTCAGTAAAAACAGATTAATCCACTTCTGCATATAGAAATGCTATGGATATAGACTAAGTAGTTGAGTAAAATACTTCAGCTAATGTGAGGACTAAGGAGGATTTAATTGTGGAAAAACTAGAAGAACTGAAATGTTAGAGAGACAATCAAAAAATGTTTTGAAGCTGTTTAGAATGTGTTTCATATAGAAAGTAAATGATAGAGATATGAATATGGAAATATATTTCCATTAAAAGCTTGTGTGTTTTCAGGCAAGGCAGGGGAACTGCATCAAGAAAAGATTAGTATTCTCTTCAGCTAGGCATTGCTCACTCATTTTCAGGATCTTGGTGTAAAGTATGCTGAGGGAAACAGGCAGTATTGGAAGCTAGGAGGAGGGAAGCTGTGACTGGGGTAAGCAGGGCAGGTTTCTTCTTTACCCTGTGTTTTGGTTGGCCATTCTTTTAAACATTCTGCTTATAGTACAGATATTGCAGGATACAATTAGCAGTGGTTATTTTCTTAGGGCAGTTAATTTGTCTACATAACAACAGCAAATCAAACTAAAATAAATAAATAAATAAATAAATAAAAAGATGGCAAAATTTGAATGAAAGGAGAATCACCACTTTGGAAAAAAACAAATACAGTTCTGCTGGGAAATGTGCTGAATAAGCAGCAGATGTTATATTGGAGTAAATACAGTCTGAGACCAAAAAAAAAAAGGCTGGAAAGGTACTGGAATTAAAAATGAAAATATACAAGTAGGATTGTGTTCTTGAATGTCATTCTTGAATGCACTGAAGTATGACTGCTTGCTGTTTCAGTGTCTAGAAGGACTTCAAGTTCAGCTCAAGACTTGTATATCTAGAGTTCAGTTTAGCAGCATTTTTGTCCTAAAACTGCCTGCAGGTTTTGGCTGGCACTCAAAACATACTTTAGTCCTCAAATTCCCTTCGGCATTATTTCTATGTAACTGTTGTAGGAGTACTTTTCCATTACTAAGAAATATATGCAATCTGAATTGAGTGTTGACTGTTACAAACTTTTAAAATCTTGATTCTAAGTAACATTGCCATGTTATGCTGAACAATTATTCTTCAAAGCACTTATTTATTTTAAAACTTATTAGAGGATAGAATTAAATTACTACTGTTAATTTCCTGTTCTAAATATTAAAAGGAATCAGAATATAACCCTGCAGGTATAATGGTTGCAATTAAAATGTGTTGATTATAGCTACATAACACAAGTCTCTTTCTTAATTTTTTGCATATTGGAGGCCAAGATTAAAGTTACTGAAAAATCACATTTTTTTCTGAACACTGATTGCCTTCTAATTCAGTGCATAATCTCAGAAGAGAATGTGATTTTATATAAACAGAATTAATAATCTCTTCTGCTGGGAAACAATCATGCTTATCAATTGATTTAGTAATACCTTTATAATATTGTTCTAGTGATCTTTCTTAAATATTGTTTAATAAAACACTAAATATTTGCTTGGTATGAAAATGCAACAGATCAACTCCATCTTTCAGATGTGCTCCACAGAATGTTTTGTCTGCTTTCATATTCACCTACCTGTTTCGAGCGTCTGTTGTTTACTGCATATTCTCTAGGCATTAAAAACAATTTTTGTTGCTAGCATGCCAAAACCTTGTATCTTAATACCTTTTTTATTAAATAAGTCAGTCCCAGGTTTAGATGAATATGAAGTATCAAAACTTAAATGTACTATAAGCTTATTTTTTTGAATGCTGTGATGAAGGTTAAGAATTTATACTTCTGTATGTTGTATTATGGTGTCATTTCCCATCTTTAACAGCATGAATGCACAAGCAATCAACAGATATAGCCCTTACCTTACTTTTTGATAATTGCCCAAATGTGTACTGCTACACTTTGCATTTACAGCAATGTTAGAACATTGACCTGCAGCACTGCTGCCAAGCAGTAACTGTACTCTAACTTGCCAATGCATATTGCCATGCCATAGCTTGTTTCTGTAGCAGTAAAGAATGACACTTTATTCCAAGTGACAAAACTGCTAGGTTTCATGGATTCTTTTTAAAGGAACTGATAGAAATACTGAGATACCAAATTTATTTTTCTAATTATTGATTTCAAGTTTATAAATACCTATAAAAGGCTTCCACCATCCAGATAAACAAAAGCAATGTAGGTTTATCTGAGTTCTTAATTCACCTGTGAGATAGAAATTTAGCCCAAACAGAACAAAGTATATAATCTGTTTTGGTTTTTAATTAGCAGTTTTCAACTGTCAAATATCTAGTAAATTATTGCACATCTTAAATTTTGCTATGGAATTGTGAAAGCTAACCATTATGAGTAAAATTGTTATTTTAGATTGCTAATGAATTGAGGAATTTTCAGCAGGCTTGACATTTCCTCAGGGAAATGGAGAGGTTATCATTGATTTTTCTGTGAGTTAGGATCGTATTTGGTCTTTAAACTTGATGTTTGCTTGGTTTTGTTTTTTTTTATTCCACCAGAGCGTATACAAATGTGACTTCTTAAATCTTCAAATTCAGCAACCTCTCCAACTGGCACAAGATGCTATAGATGCCTTTCTTAAGCAACTGAAAAATCCCATTGATTCTCTACCTGGAGAACTGTTTCATGTCGTCGTTTTCTCTCTCCTCCTTTCTTACTTTCCATCACCCTATCAACGATGGATATGCTGTAAGAAGGCACATGAACTTCTCGTATTAAATGGCTTATTGCTTGTGATAACTCCAGATTCATCTCATCAGAATCGCCGGGCTATGATGATGAAAAGCTGGAAAATTGCTATAGAGTCCTTGGGTTTTAAACGCTTCAAGTATTCCAAGTTTTCTCACATGCACCTGATGGCATTTAGGAAAACTTCCCTGCAAACAACAAGTGACTTAGTTAGCAGAAACTACCCAGGAATGTTGTATATCCCACAGGATTTCAACAGTATAGAGGACGAAGAGTATTCCAACACGTCCTGCTATGTTCGATCAGACACAGAAGATGAACAGCTAGCCTACGGTTTTATGGAGCTCCCTGATGCTCCTTATGACTCAGACTCTGGAGAAAGCCAGTCTAGTTCAATTCCTTTCTATGAGCTAGAAGATCCTATATTGCTTCTAAGTTAATGTAGTCATTGAAATGACCTTTCAGTCAAACCTCTTGCTTAACTAATTTTGCTATACTAACATGGGCTCAACACACAAAAATGGTTTGCATAAGGAAAATGCAAAGGTTTACAGAGTTTGCTATTTTTTTCTACTTTTGAATTTTAAAATTTATTCTTGTATGAAAGTGAAAAAATACAAGTTTTATGCAGATGACTCATGTCATAGCATAAATTGCTGTTACTTTATTTAGATGTATATCACTAATTTTTTTCCCAGAAAGGTACCATTATTTTCTTTAGTGCTGTGAAGTGTGAGTTCTGTTTCATTTGCTACATGTTGTTTCAATATTTTAACTCAATGTGGTTGAGCTTAAGGCACTGGAGTTGGTGAGCTTCTGAGAAGTATATGTAGGAAGAAATAATTTGCACTTTAATTAAATGTGCAGATAGGTTAAGACACTTGGTTACACATGTCCCTTCATAATTATGGAACAAAGCTTTTTTCCAAAATTTGTTTCACTCTGGTTAAGCCTGGGCTGGAGAAACTATAATGCTTGCACATTTGATTTTGTTTATTGCAGCCCTCTTGAGATTACACCAAATCGAGATAACACCAAAACACTGGAATATATTCATCCATAGTTACACATACTGTATAATTTCATTGCATAAATGGTAGTTAGATACAAGTTTTCTGAAGAGGTTATCCCTCCCCAGAGGAGTATGGTACGTATAGACAATTATGTTTCATTTTAAAGCTGGAACATGGTTTGCAGTTGTATGAGTGCACAAGCACTGACGTGTATCAGTATTTCCCCAATGATGGTGTTCTGTATTCTCTTCAAACTGTGTTTTTTGGAGGGGGCAGGGTGGGTTTTGTCATGTTTTAAAGTAAATTATTTATGCATTTTAAAAACAAACAACTTTTTTCTTCAGTTGTCCTTATTTGTAAACCTCCCAAGTTAACTACAGACCAATTTTGTAAAAGGAACATAATTATACAGGTTTTTCAAGGATACACATATTTGCACAAAGCCATGTATTCAGACCACACGAATGAAGTTAACATACTATTTGCTTATTTGGACCCAAAAATCTTCTCTTTAGTTAAATAAAAAATCCATAGACGTCTGAAGACTGGTTTGCACTGTAAGGAGATAAAACAGAAGTTTTTCACATCTGTTAATTTTTTTAACTTGTGTAATAAATTTGTGAAGTTTTGCAGGGGAAAAAATATAAATCTGTTCAGTGTTAGAAATAGGAGATTCAGTATTAGCTTAGCTTAGATTTCTCTCCATTTAATGAAAAAAAAAATGGCCAGAATTTTCAGATTTGAATGTTAGGCTGTTAAATCTATCTGTAAGTGCCTAATAATTATTTTTTTCAACTAGGTGCCACATCATGGTTTTAAGAATGACTTCAGCAAAATGGTAGAAAATACTAATAGTTTCACAGGTGGTTGCAACAAGATCTACCTTACACCATATTAACCTACCATGTTGTGTTTATAATAGATAAGTTACCAGATAAACTTAAGTTGTTGTGTGGATTTTACAGTGGTTGCTACAAAAATGAAGCTTACTTCTTCCATTGAAGTTTTGCACTGGAAATGTCACAGTCTGACCTGTTTTTCTTTTACACTGTTTCCTACATAGTCATCCCACATGGGTGCAGCTTACACTCATCATCTGCACTGCAATGCTTTATTCTTCAACATAAGCTTTCTACGTTTCTTCTTAAATGTAAAGCATCCCCTAATATCTTATTCAAATTTGCTATTCAGTCAGAATGATATACAAACCAAATAATTCTGATTATTATTTTTAAAAAAAAAAACCAAAACACCAAAACCAAAAGTTTAGACTTTTAAGTATCATGGCTGACTTTTTTTTTTTTTACAGATAATACTCCACTAAGGATATACATAATGGCTTCAAAATTGGCTATAAGTCTATATTTGTATCTTATGCTTTACCATTTCACTTTCACTACAAGGTCTGTCATTCAAAGCCTTTCTTCTTTCCAGTGAACCACTGCCTCCAGCAGTGCTCATGTTAAAGGTAAAATATTGGTGCTATAAATTCAGCTCTTTATGGAAACATAATCTGCATATTTCAAAGTGTACCTAACATTTCAACTGGTAAATAAGTTACATACCACCTAACATATATGTTGGCATTGGTTAATGTAAATTGATTTATGATTCATACACAAAAGCAACTCAGGCCAAGATATTTTATCCCCCCCAAATAGTTTAAAATATTAAAATTTAAAATATAAGCCTTTTGAGCACGTTGTGGTTTAGGGACCCAAGATTCATAACAGCTTGGTTTTCTTGCTGCTTATTCTAAATACCTGAAGTGTTCCTTTTAACTTTTTTTTTTTTTTTTTTTTTAAACAAGAGACAGATTGTGGTGGTGGATGAGGAAAGTGGGATTTACAGATTGACATAAATACTTACACCTCCCTGAACAATACAGTGTTGATACCAGCAGTTGTTGGATATTTGGCTTTGCTGCAAGACTTGTTCTAGGTTATGAAATATTTGAAAATTGACTGTGCAAAAGATCTCTCATTCTTAAGGTGCTGGAGAGGAAAAGGAAGAAAATGTGTATTTGCATTTCTGTTGTCTGTATGTCACTACTTTTTGTGAACAAAGCACATTTATTAAAAAATAAATCTGAAAACCTTTTTAAAAATTGTTTCTTTGGGGTGGAGTTGTCCTTTTTCCTTCCTATGCAGTTGGTTCATGCAGAAATCCAGTGAAACTAATGCATAGTTATATTCAACATTGTCAAGAAGACAGTTGTGTTGTGTTGTGTTTGTTTTATAAGCAACTGAATTATAGTAAAGATGTTAAATATGGTACTTCAGTTTCAGCTTCTGCATCTCAGTTTGGTCTTTGCTTTACCAAAGGGTTTTTGGAGTTCCTTCAGTTGATCCTGTATCATGTTTCTTTGCCTGCCTGCTTGTGATGTTACTACTAATGCAGTTCCTCTCCTCTCTCTAGATTTTCTTAATATCTTCTCCATCTCCCTGAAATATCTTTGCAGCACCTATACATTGGCCCTTTGCGGGCATTGCTGTATTTTTCTACAGAAAAATATGGCAGTGGGAAAAGAAACCCAAAAAACTGAAAATGTGAGGCTCCTACTCGGATGCAGATTGTAAGAAAATAAAGATTTCCACAGAACTGAAGTGTGTCCCTAGTACTGCAGAGCCTAGCTAGTATATGCTGCTCTCTTACTTGACAGTGAGGATCAGAAAACATTTCACAGCTGTTCTGAGGATTGATTCCTGCAGAATCTTAATGTCCTTTTCTCCTTCAGGGAGACTTGCTTTAAAACGATCATTTTAAGTCTTTAATTTTATCCCCATGAATCAGCAGCATGTTTTCTGCTGGTTTTTGTTGCCTCAGTTTTCCTCAATTCATTGGTTTTGTACTTGTAGAATAGCAGGAAAAGGATTGCTATTCAGGGTTATTATTTTTTACTTTTTAAGTAAATTATTCTCCAAGAAGTTGCTTGAAGGGTATTCCTAAATCACAGCTGGACAGATACGATACCATTTAAGTTCTGTCCATGATGCTGGTAAAGCAGGTGACATTTACTAAGCAACAGAGACTTACGTGGTTCTGCTTGTTAAAGGAAAACCTCTGAGCTTTGTTTGTTTGTTTGTTTGTTTTTACCCGTGTAACTTTTAGGCCTGTTGGCCAGTTTTACTTAAAATTTGAAGAGGGGTAAGAACTAAGGTTCTTGTGAATCAGATGAGTGGATAATTGAGGCAAGAAAGCCATCCTGTCAAAGTTTAGATGTTTAAGGGTCCATCTGCCAGCAGTCAGCACCAGTGCTCCCAGAGGGAGGGAGGGCTGGCTGTGGTGAAGGGATTACAGGAACAAAGGACAGAAATCTGCAGCAGGGCAGCCCTGGTGCTGTTCAGAGCAGCCTTGTACATGAGCTGTCTGAACTACCCTTGTCTGGCCTGTGTGAGATCCAGAAGCTACTTGCTCTTGCCCACCTGCCTGCAAGGACCAATTCAAACGTGCATTTCCAGCACGGAGTGTTATGGAACACTGATGGTCGAGGTGTGCCTTCTGTGCAATGGTGAAAGCTTTTGTTTGGGAAGCAGTCAGCCTGGGACTGGATTCTTCTTCCACAGAAGGCTGCTGGTGGCAAACTATAGGAAAGGCTAGGGAGGGTTCTGTCTGGCTTGCAATCCTGATTCAAACACAGCTTTCCCTCTTCTGTCTTCTCAGCACCAGTTGACAAGTGTTTATAGGCTTGGGTTTGGTACTTTTCATACTTCCAACCTATTAACATTGCATTTTTCTGTGTGTGGAGCAGAAAATGTGCATTTGCTAGTGTCTATAATTGAAAAGTTTTTTGTTGGAAAAAACCTTTAAAGAGTCTATCCATGAGCTTATCACACTGCCAAGCCACCACCCAACCCCGTCCCCAAGCATCACATCTGCGGGCCTTGGAAATACCTCCAGGGACAGTGACTCTACCGCTTCCCTGGGCAGCCTGTTCCAGTGCCGGGTAACCTTTTCAATGAAGGTGTTTTTCCTCGTATCCCACCTAAACTTCCCCTGGCACAACTCGAGGCCCTTTGCTCTTGTCCCATCATTGTTACTCGGGAGCGGAGACCAACCCCCACCTCGCTACCAGCTCCTTCCAGGCAGCGATAAGGTTTCCCCTCAGCCTGCTTTTTTCTCCAGGCCACCCAGTCCCCTCAGCTCCTCCTCAGCCTTGTTCTCCAGACCCTTCACCAGCTCCGCCGCCCCTTCCCTGGTCTCGCCGCTATTCGAAGTGGGGGGCGCGGGCGTGAGCACGGCGTTCCCTGAGCCCGAGACGGCTGCGGGGCGGGCGCGGCCCCGCAGCGCGCAGGGCTCCGGCAGCGCCCGGCGCCGTTTGAGCCTCGGCGCGGCCCGTAGC